CACCCGGCTGATTTTTTGATTTATTGTAGAGATGAGGTCCCGCTGCCTAGGTGGGTCTCGAACCCGTGGGCTCAGGCAATCCACTCACCTCAGCCTCCCAAAGGCGCGGGATTACAGGCTGAGCCACCGAGCCCGGCTGGGAATAACTTTCTAAGCAATATGAGTCACCATGAGAAATAAGCAAATTTGACTTCATAAAAATTTAAAAGTTTTTGCATGCCTGGAAGATATCTTTTTTTTTACAGGCATGAGCCACTGCACCCGCCTTCCCTATTATTTTATTTTATTTATTTAATTTTTTAAATGAGGGACAGGGACATGGATAGCAGAAGGTGAGAAAGCGGGATTTATTGAGAAGACAGAAAAACTCCCACGGGGGAGGGGACCCAAGAGGGTTGCCATCCCTATTATTTTAAATGTATATGGTCCTGTTCTCATTGGTATTGGATGTGAGATGTGGAACTAGATTGATTTTCTGGTAGTTCTGACTAGCGCGAAGTAGTCTTTTTTTTTTTTTTTTTTTTTGAGTTGGAGTCTCACTCAGTCGCCCAGACTGGAGTGCAGTGGCCGCTCCCGGCCACCGCAGCCTCGACCTGATGGGCTCCGGCGATCCTTCCGTCTCAGCTTTCCAAGTAGCTGGAACTACAGGTGCGCGCTACCACGCCCGGCTAATTTTTGATTTATTGTAGAGATGAGGTCTCGCCAAGTTGCCCAGGCGGGTCTCGAACCTGCGGGCTCAGGCAATCCACTCACCTCAGCCTCCCAAAGGCGCAGGATTACAGGCTGAGCCCCAAGGCTGGCTAGATATCTTAATTAACTAAAACTGTTCATGAAAATTGACTAAAAATGTTGAGAAAACTATTAAGAATCCAGTAGCTAAATAAGCAAAATAGATAAACAGGTAATTCACAAAAGAGGAACTACAATAAGCAAATATATGACAAAATGTTTGACTTTACCAGTAATCGATGCCAGTTAAAATAACAGGGAAGTGCCATTTTTTTGCTTTTGTTCCATTATACATAACCGGAGGCAGAACAGAATTATGTGCAATCTGGCCTGCGCAGTGGCTCACACCTGTAATCCCAGCACTCTAGGAGGCTGAGGTGGGAGAACTGCTTGAGCCCAGGAGTTTGAGACCAGCCTGGGCAACTTGGTGAGAACTTGTCTCCACAACAAAATCAAAAAAGGCCCTGACCACGAATGCTCGAGAATGCTGCTGGCCTTGCCCATACCGTAAACCCCCTCCCTGGTGATCCAGGTGTCCCTCCAGGCTGCCTTAGCAGGCCCAATGAGGAGTGACCAGGTGGGGATGACCCACCCTCAACACAGGGGTCTCATTATGTTCCTGAGCCTGTCTCAAACTTCTGAGCTCGAGGGATCCTCTCACCTAGACCTTGCAGAGAGCCCGGCCCTGGAATTTCTATTCCAAGACTTTATTTTGCTCTTCCCGCAATGACGACGATGACGACGGCAATGACAGCATCGATGTAAAGATAATAATCTTCACATACTTTGTTCCACTGGAGAATTACAACTTTTTTCTTGTACATTGTTTCAAAACCAAGGATGATTTTATCACTGTTTTCTGCATAGCTGTTCCACCTGGGGCGAATCTGACCTGACAGAGGCCTAAATGGCTTTCAGGAGGCAGAAGAAAAAATGGAATTCTGGACAATTTCCCCTTAGATTCTGGTGTCTGCTTGTTTCCATGTGCACCTTTTGTACCACAGAAGTCATAAAAAACATTAAAACGAAAAATAAAAAAATTTAACCAGGTGTGATGGTGCACACCTGTAGTCCCAGCTACTCGGGAGGCTGAGGCAGAAGGATCATCTGAGCTCAGGAGGTCGACGCTGTGGTAAGCTGTGATTGTGCCACTGTACTTCAGCTGACAGAGAGAGACTGACTCAAAAACCAAAAAAAAAAAAAAAAAATGCAATCACTTTGGAAAACAATTGCCTATGTTAATAAGAGACATGAAATAGCCACATTCAATTCAGTAACCCCAATTATGAGGCTCTGCTATAAGGAAGCAGTCAGTTCTTCACTGCAGCATTACTGTAATTACCAAAGCTGGAAACAGTGGACATTTCCAGCAGTAAAGAAATACATCAAGGGAAGTTGGGCATGGTGGTTCACACTTATAATCCCAGCACTTTGGGAGGTGGAGGTGAGAGAATTGCTTGAGCCCAGGAGTTCAAGCTCAGCTCGGGCAATATAGCAAGACCTTGTCGCCACAAAAATAAAAATTAAAAAAATAGTTGAGTGTGATGCACATGCCTGTAGTCCCATCTACTCAGAAGACTGAGGAGGAAGGATTGCTTGAGCCCAGGATGTCAGGGCTGTGGTAAGCTGTGTGTGTGCCACTGCACTCCAGCCTGGGTGACAGAGTGAGACTCTGACTCAATAAATAAAACAAATAAACAAACAAATAAATAAATAAAGTAAAATACTTTTTTTTTTTTGAGTCAGGGTCTCACTCTGTTGTCCAGGCTGGAGTGCAGTGGCATGATCATGGCTCACTGCAGCCTCAACCTCCTGGGCTCAGGCAATCCTCCAGTCTCAGCTCCCAAATAGCTGGGACTACAGGCGCGGGCCACCACGCCCGGCTAATTTTTTGTTTTTTTGTAGCGACGAGGTCTCGCTATGTTGCCCAAGCTGGTCTCGAACTCCTAGGCTCAAGAGATCCTCCAGCTTCGGCCTCCCAAAGTGATCGGATTACTGGTGCGAGCCACCGCGCGCGTCCAGCCGTATAACTTTATAATACATTTCAAGATCGTAGAGTGCTCGGCCTTCCCTAATTCATAATTGACATTTTTAAGTAAAAATCAAACACCCTACCGCTCACCTCCTCATCCTCCCCTCCCAGGGTCTACCACTCTCTCAGAGGCGTTTAAAAGACACGGCTCTCCTTGGGGGAAAGTTTACAAACTGGTAGAGTGGAAGAATGACAGCGGCTCCTTCTGGGAGTGAGAACGCTTAAGAAAACCCCTGAAGGTAGAGAACAGCGGGGTCGGCGTATCCTCTCCCGACTTGGCGTTCCCTCTTCCCTCGCAGCCCTGGCCGGCGCCAGCTGCTTTCCCCAGCTCAGCCACTGGGGGCCGCTGCCGGGCCCGTGAACCTGTGGACCGGAACCTCCTGTCGCGGCCGTGACGTCACGTGCGGTCTCGGGCGGAAGTTTTCCGCCGGCGGACCGGGAAGTAGCCGGAGGCCGGGCGATGGCTCTTCTGGAGGCCGGACTCCGTGGCGGACCCGCGGCCGCAGTGCTCCCGCGATAGACCGGACCTGGGTGGCGGGCTCCGGGGTCCCGAGGTGAAGAGCGTCGGGGACTGAACCGGGACCCTAAAAGGGAGTCTCGGGGCCCTCACGGCTCCTGTCTGTGGAGCCCCTTCCCTAACCCTGGGCTCTAAACTCCGTTTGCCCAGGCTGCCCCGGAAGCAGGTCCTCCCGGCATCACACCGCTGCTTTAGGCAACGGCTCAGGCTGCGATTTAACCCCCGTGCCACCACCACCAAGGCACGAGATAGTCCTGGGCCGAAGGTTCAAGGGCGCCGATTCTCCCTAACATCGCCTCCTTTCCACCGCCGCAGGGATGGAGGGATCTAAGACGTCCAACAGCACCATGCAGGTGAGCTTCGTGTGCCAGCGCTGCAGCCAGCCCCTGAAACTGGACACGAGCTTCAAGATCCTGGACCGGGTCACCATCCAGGAGCTCACAGGTCAGCGAGACCCTTGGAAAGAGGGTGGTCAAGAATGTGGAAGGTGGGCATATTTGGAGATAGAGTTCTTATGGTGGCTCAGATCTGTGTCCGCCACTGTCGCGCCGAGTGAACCTAGGAACCTAGGAAAGTCCATTTCAACTTTCTTGCTCCCTGTTTTCTCATGGGAACATAAATTAGTTCTGACAGTGTGTGCTTCTGAGAGCTTTGTGTAGCAAAAGAAAGGTCCTTATTTTTCTGCTTCTGCTGTTTCAGAGAAAAGGAATATATACATATATTGATAAATGACATTTGTTGAGGATTTACCATATACCAAGTGCATACATGCATTACTTCATTTAGTCCTCGCAACAGCCACTCTGGTATAGTGCCATCGTTTTATAGATGAGGAATTGAGGCAGAGAGAGGTTAAGTGACTTGCCCAAGGTCCAACAGCTGGTGAGTGGAGGAGTAGAGTCTCAAAGTCCCAAGAAATGAGATGAAGTCCCAGGAATTGATTGATGACTAAATTGGCAGCTAAGATAAACTCATGGGTCTGGAGTCAGCCTTCTTGGGTTTAAAACCTGGCTGTCATTTACTAGCTGAACGACTTTTTGCAAGTTATTTCACCTCTCTAAGCCTTGGTTTCTTGGTTTCTTGATCTGTAAAATGTTAAACTGCCTCAAAAGATAGGTGTTAGGTTTAAATATGACAAAGCACATAATACTTAGAAATATGCTGAGCAAATAGTACTCAATAAATGTTAGCTGCTATTGCTGTCTGATATCTCTTTTCTGACGGGGAATAAACTCTTTTTTTTTTTTTTTATTTGAGTTGGAGTCTCACTCTGTCACCCAGACTGGAGTGCAGTGGCCACCACAGCCTCGACCTTCTGGGCTCCGGCGATCCTTCCGCCTCAGCCTTCCAAGTAGCTGGAACTATAGGCACGTGCTACCATGCCCGGCTAATTTTTGATTTATTGTAGAGACGAGGTCTCGCCAAGTTGCCCAGGCGGGTCTCGAACCCGCAGGCTCAGGCAATCCCCTCACCTCAGCCTCCCAAAGTGCTGGGATTACAGGCTGAACCACTGAGCCCGACTGAATAAATTCTTTAATATAGGCTTTTAAACTTTTTATTATGGAAAATTTCAAACATATACAGTCAAGAGAATAGCATAATGGCCCTCTTTTGCTATAGCACCCAACTTCAACAGCCACATTCTGCCATTCGTATGTTATTTACTATACCTCCACTCACTGCCCATCCCTCACTCAATTATTAGTTTTTCACACTTTTTTAAAAAAGAGAATTGTCATGCATAGAAATGTACAAACCTTAGCTGTGCGTTTTTGACAAATGGATACACTCGTGTAATCTGGATCACTGCAATGCAGAAATGTTTCATCTTTCCAAAAATTTTTCTGATTTTCCTCCCCAGTTATTCTGGGGGTAAAGGGATGTTAGCTTTTCTGATGGAAAATGCCAAATATTTAATAAACTCCTATCTATCCATCACCCAGGCTCAACAATTACCAACACATATTTAGTCATGTTTCAGCCCCATCCATTCCTCCCCACCGTGAATTATTGTGAAGCAAATCTCAAACATAAGTACCATAAATGTTTCTGTAAGTATTTTTGAAGGATATGAACTCTTTAAAAAATAATCATGATACCATTATGCCTTAAAAAATTTAGCATTTCCTTAATCTGATTTAACAAGGATGGAGGAGACAACAGATTATTCTTTGTGTAAATGATACTTTAAGAAAAACCAAATGCATCTTGGTTTGGACAGTGACTTGTATGATGAGGTGGTGGTGAGGATATTTCAGATTCTTTTCCCATACTTTCATACCCCCTCCTGCTTTGAGAAGACTGTTTCTGACCCAGTATTTTCCTTGCCCTTAGCTCCATTACTTACCACAGCCCAGGCGAAACCAGGAGAGACCCAGGAGGAAGAGGCTAACTCAGGAGAGGTAATAGAAGTGCCCTCTCCCTTATCCTCCTCAAACAACAAATATTCTAAGTGGGAGATTTGATATGAAAGCACAGGAATGCAGTCATCATTTCTGCAGGGTACTTGGTGCTCCTAGAGCCCCCAGACTTTGGGGATCTCTGATTCAAACACAAGACATTCTACATAATCAAGCTATTATGCATCATTGGAGGTCTAGAAGTACTCCTGCGGTCACAGTACACCTCCTGAGTGAGGCATCCATTCAAAAATGTGGGAGAGGCTCTTCTTTATTTGAGGCTGAGTTATAAATTAGCATAGGTTGGAGATAGGATGACTGATGTGTCCAGGTTGTTCCAGGGCATTGGTTTGCATCTGTTGTTTAGCTGGTTATTAATACCTACTCCTCTCCATTCTCAAATGCATCTTGGTTTGGACAGTGACTTGTATGATTACCCTAGATAGAAAGGATTGTCAGTGTTAGAGAACATGTTCATTTTATTTTATTTTATTTTTTAGTCGGACTCTCTGTCGCCCAGCCTGGGGGGCAATGGCATGCTCACAGCCATTGCAGCCTCAACTTCCTGGGCTCCGATGAGCCTTCCGCCTCAGCCTTCCAAGTAGCTGGAACTATAGGCATGCACCACCACACTTGGCTAATTTCTGATTTAATGTAGAGATGAGGTCTTGCCAAGTTGCCCAGGCTGGTCTCGAACTCTAGGTTCAGGCAATCCTCTCACCTCGGCCTCCCAAAGTGCTGGGATTATAGGCATGAGTCACCACACCCAGCCAACATGTTCATTGTTCATTTTAAACTGTGATAATGTTAGTCATGCTGTGGCGCATATGTGGAGCAGTGTCCTGTGAGATAGTATTGAATACACACCTGAGATTTCTTCTGCCCAAGTAGCAAGGGAGCTGGGGTATCTATTCACCCACTGCTGTCAGTCATTGGTGGAGGGCTGACCTTAGGTGAGATGGGGGCCATTAATTCTGGCCAGCACCCCGTGCAGGCAATTGCGGCATTCAGGGGTCAGAGGAAGCCTTCAGCAGAGAGGCATAGAGGGCTTGGCAGTTGAAGTCAGTAGATGTCATAAGATTTTGATCACAATAAATAATATCAGGCCAGGCTCGGTGACTCAACCTGTAATCCTAGCACTTTGGGAGGCTGAGGCGAGTGAATTGCCTGAGCCTGTGGGTTTGAGACCAGCTTGGGCAACTTGGTGAGACCTTGTCTCTACAATAAATCAAAAATTAGCCAGGTGTGGTAGTGCACACCTGTAGTACTGGCTACTTAGAAGGCTGAGGTAGAAGGATCGCCAGAGCCCAGCAGTTCGACACTTGGGTGGGCGTGAGTGTGCCACTACGCTCCAGCCTGGGTGACAGAGTGAGACTCCAACTCAAAAAAATAAAAATAAAAATGTTGAAAACATAAATTATCTGTTTGTGCTATGGCAAAGTTCATTGCAGTCTGATCTGGCTTTTTCCTTGTACCATGGTTTTTAGAGCATTCTCTCCCCTATCCTAGACTGGTAAGTGTTGAAAAAAATGCAAATGTAACTATAAATATAGTATAACATAGTTAGGAAATGCTTTTCTTCACCAAAAAACCCAAAATCAAGTGGAACTTGGGGTTTGTACATGTCATGGATCCTTTCTTAGTCCACATATTTAAGGATTGGCTAGATAAGACCCATTTTTTAAGGCTGTGGTTTATCACCTCTTGTGGTTATTAATCAAGAGTAAAGCCATAAAGTTCTGAGGCTGCTTGGGAGATAGACTCCACCTCTGAGCTGCCAGAATCCTAATGCCCTCTTATTTCTTTCCCAGGAGCCATTTATTGAAACTCGCCAGGATGGTGTCTCTCGCAGAGTCATCCCCCCAGCCAGGTGCCTACTCATTCTTAGACCCATTCCTTGCCAAAGGCCAGTAAAATTTTAATTGAACCCAGGAGTCAACACCTGGAACCAGGTGATGGAGGTGAATCATCACCTAGCCTTTTGGCTCTTTCAGAAAGATGTATTCCCCAATACTTGGCCCATTACCCTCCATTATTGCATTTTTCCTATAGCCATTCACACAGCTGGAAGGGATAGTATCTCAAATGATGAAGTAGTAAGAAAAGTTGAGAGAGTGATTGACTAAAAAAGAGATGGGCTCTTGACACATTCACGATTGGCAAATTTTTTACTTTCCTAATACTGAGAGCGGGTGGGGAAAAAAATATCTGAAGCTGGTTGCCACACAAAAAATCTGAAGTTGGTTAAGCACGAGTGAAATGGTCTTTTCTAAATTGTCATCTTTTTCACAGTACAGCTGAGAGTTGCAGACATATCCAGTAGTTGCCTGAGATACTACTCTGACTAGCATTCTATACTTTGTATTTTTATTCAGATTGTAAACTGAATATAATAAACATATATTTCTTTGTTTACATTGCATCATTACATCACTATCTGTCTCACTATCCCTAATAAATTCACTGGATTCACCTTTGACCTTGGAAATCTCATTAGAATGTATTTCTTCATTTTCCATAAGTATGGTAAATTATTTTTAACATTGAAGTATGAAAACCCTGAAATATCAAAATACAAGTATACAACACTAATCACAACAAAATAATGACCAACTTGCTATTTTTACCAACTACGTAAATCAATAACATTGTGCAGTCAATATCACATAATGATCTCAATTAATTTTCTCCTTGCTACAGTATTCATTTTCAAGCAAAATATAATAACACACATATGACAATGTTGCAGTATTCAGAAATAGAATTTGCAAAGACATAAATTCACGTCAGCAGCAACCAGGAACAGAATTTGGAATGGCATAAATTCATGTCAGTGGTCGTGAATGAGTTAAGAAATTGTAAAATAGCAAATGCTGTTAGATGTTCAGGTCCTTAGATCTCACTGATACAAGTAAAGATTGCTGTCAAGGGGTGTGATATTAAAACATGCTCTCTCCTGGTTCTCCCTCCTTTCCTACTTTAGACATACACATGTCAGTTTTTTGCCCCCTCTCCCTCCTTAGTCCATCCAGGCCAACATTCGTGCTGAGTGTCCTGTGGATGGCCTTCCTCTGGGAGAGAGGTACCCTTGGGAAATCATTTGGGCTAGAAGTGGGTATATGCCTTGAGGCCCCAAAGCTGGTACTTGATAGTCTCTGCCACTGGCACTGCAGTAGGTAGAGGAAGTCTCTCTGCTCCCTCATGTGGCCCGTGGGCGGGGGGCTGTCTGCAGGATGATGTCCACAGAAAGCGCCAACAGCTTCACTCTGATTGGAGAGGCATCTGATGGTGGCACCATGGAGAACCTCAGCCGAAGACTGAAGGCAAGTCAGCCCCTTCCCAGCACCAAGCAGCAGGCCTGGCCGGTAGAGGGGGTGGTTGGTCAAGTACCATGGGGGAGGCCCTCTCCTAACTCTCCACGCTTCCAGGTCACTGGGGACCTTTTTGACATCATGTCGGGCCAGACAGATGTGGATCACCCACTGTGTGAGGAATGCACAGATACTCTTTTAGACCAGCTGGACACTCAGCTCAATGTCACCGAAAATGAGTGTCAGAACTACAAGTGAGTGCCTCCAGAGCCAGGCCCCGGTACTATCACTGCTCTGGGACTGCTTGGCCCTCCCCACCAGCTCCATTCCACCCAGACAATGGAACAGTTGGTAAGTATGCTGTGCCTGTGTCTCTGGCAGACGCTGTTTGGAGATCCTAGAACAAATGAATGAGGACGACAGTGAGCAGCTGCAGATGGAGCTAAAGGAACTGGCGCTCGAGGAGGAGAGGCTGATCCAGGAGCTGGAGGATGTGGAGAAGAACCGTAAGCTCGTGGCAGAAAGTCTCGAGAAGGTTCAGGCTGAGGCTGAGAGACTGGATCAGGAAGAAGCTCAGTGAGTACTCACTTTTTTTTGTCTCCCTGTCTTCACGGCTCCAGGAGAGGAAATGACTTCCAGCTGAATGTGCCTGATTAGTTAGTAAACTGTAGTCAGCTGTCAGTCAGCAGCTTGTCTGCTTTAGTTCCTGGGTATTGTTTCCAGGCCCTGTTTCTAGAGGTTATGTGTGAAAAGTCAGCATGGTTAAATGAAAAAGGATGTTGGTTAAGAAGAGTGTAGACCGGGCTCCGTGGCTCAGCCTGTAAACCCAGCGCTTTGGGAGGCCGAGGCGAGTGGATTGCCTGAGCCTGCAGGTTTGAGACCCGCCCAGGCAACTTGGCGAGACCTCGTCTCTACAATAAATCAAAAATTAGCTGGGTGTGGTAGCGTGCGCCTGTAGTTCTGGCTACTTGGAAGGCTGAGGTGGAAGGATCGCTGGAGCCCAGCAGGGCGAGGCTGTGATGGTTGGGAGCGTGCCACTCTGGGTGACAGAGTGAGACTCCAACTCAGAAAAAAAAAAAGAGTGTAGAAGCCAGGCCTTTGTCTTGGCTTTGTCTTGGCTCTATTCTCTAGGGAATGGGCTCATCTGGGTAAGTCAGCCATTTATTCCCATCTGGAGAGATGAGCATATCAGCCTATATTTGTTCCCTCCCAGCTCAAAGCTGTCATGGGTGTTCTTGACCTGAGAGAACACGTACGGTGGAGGAGACAGTGTCACACTCACTAGAATTGGAGAAGTGAAGGACGGAGAAAAGTCCAGTTTTTCACAATGTAGTATAACAAATTTCACTGAAAATGGTGTACACTACCTATTTGAAGGACAGTTAATGGGTCACACCTGTAATCCCACCACTTTGGGAGGCTGAAGTGGGAGGATCATTTAAGCCTAGGAGTTCAAGGCTGCAGTGAGCTGTGATCATACCACTGCACTCTAGCCTGGGGAACAGCCAGACCCTGTCTCTTAAAAAAAAGATATGGGTCACCCACTGTGTGAGGAATGCACAAATACATTTTTGGACTAGCTGTACATTCAGCTCAATGTCACTGAAAATGAGTGTCAAAACTACAAGGATTGCTTCCAGAGCCTAGCCCGGAGCTGTCACTTTAAAAAAGTAAACTGGGCTCGGTGGCTCAGCCTGTAATCCCGCGACTTTGGGTGGCTGAGGTGAGTGGGTTCGAGACCCGCCTGGGCAACTTGGTGAGACCTCATCTCTACAATAAATCAAA